CTGTCTCCTGTGGACTAGGTTCCAGGATCCCAGCCTTCCTCCAACTGCCTGTAGGCAGAAGGAAGTGCCAGGAGAGCCTTTCTCGGTTAGAAAACTAATGCTGTAATTTAAAAAGCAACGTGAGAGAGAAAGACACCATGAAACAAACCTCACATGGAGTTTTTTTGTTGTTGTTTTCTCTTTCATGCATTTTAATCAAGCTGAATTTTAAAGATTTATTTATAATAACATTCTGCCTGCATATATGCCCGCACCAGAAGAGGGCGCCAGATCTCATTACAGAGGGTTGTGAGCCACCATATGGTTGCTGGGAATTGAACTCAGGACCTCTGGAAGAGCAGCCAGTGCTCTTAACCACTGAGCCATCTCTTCAGCCCCCACATGGAGGTTTTTTGTTGTGGTTGTTGTTGTTTTTGTTTTTTATTAAGGGAAAGAGAATGGATAAAGGGGGAACGGGATTGGGGAGACCAGCCTCTGGGGACAGGAGCAGCAGAAGAGAAAAGAAGAAAGGGAAACAGACAGACCTAGAGAGAAAGAGAAAGGGGAGGTAGTGACTGTGCACAGGAGCTGCTCTTAGGGGCTGCAGCTGAGGACGTATCCCATCAGGACCCTAAGGGCAGGCCAGTACAGATGCCTGAATACTAACACAAACAAGATCTAGGCATGTTGGCGGATGGGAGGTAGAGCAGGAAGAGTTGGTGGCCAGCCTCAGCTACATAGCAAATTTGAGGCTAAACTGGACTAGGGACCCTCTCACAAAAGCTTCTGGAACATGTGTTTTTCCCTACTTACTAGGTCATTCCCACTGTTGGGGTTGATTTCCTTTGCTGAATAAAGTCTCCCTATTTCTGCTTTTTTTTTTTTAAAGACATCACTAGGAAAGCAGAGGCAGGCCTGTCTCTGTGAGCTTGAGGCCAGCCTGGTCTACATGGTGAGTTCCAGGCCTATCAGGGCTACATAGTGAGACCCTATCTCAAAAAATGGACAAACCAACCAAACAAAACAAAATCTAAAACTAGAAGGAGGGGAGCTGGGCATGGGAGCACACACCTTGAATTCCAGCCCTTGAGGTACAGCAGGTGCATCTCTGTGAGTTCAAGGACAGCTTACTCTATCTGCAGAGTGTTCCAGGCTAGGCTTGGCTGCACAGTAAAAACCTGTCTCAAAATACAAACAAACAAACATGAACAAGAAAATCCAAGCATACAAATAAACCACATTACTCACCAAACAATGTTTTTCTGCCCCTCGTATTTTCTTTCTTCCATTCTTCCTTTATTTCTTCCCTCCTTTCTTCTCTCCCTCCCTCCCTCCTTCTGTCCCTCCCTCCTCTGTCCCTCCCTCCCTTCCTTCCTTTGCAGTCTTAGTATGCAACACTGGCTGGCCTGGAACTCACAGAGATACACACACCTCTTAGAATTGAAGGCGTGTGCCGCCATGCCCAGCCTGTCTTATATCCTCTTAACCTGGCAGGGTTAATGAGGTATGCTGCTCCTCTGCCTCGATTACCCTCTTCCTCCTCCCTTTCCATCCCACCCACCCCACTCCTCCCTTTTCTATAGCAGCCTGGACCACTGCTCTCCCTCCTTTACCCCTGGCTTTACCATTCCTACCTGGCCGGACAGACTCTACCTTAGGTTTAGGGATGTTCCATTCGGTGTGGTCATGGGTTCTGCTTTAGCAGAAGCATTCGGTGTGCATGTGTGTTTTCTCATGCACCTTCTATTTTTTTTTTTATCTATTTTGAGAAGAACATATCCCAGCGCAGTGACTGATCCATGCAGGATCTATGTAACAGAGACCTGAACTCACCCAAAAGTCCAGTCTGTCCCAAGTTCTGTCATTCCCCACATGAAACAGAACCCAGCTGCAACCAGAGACCTGACTGAGGAGAGTCAACGCCTGATGTGACATGTCACCACGATTTGGAGAGTGCTTGTTACACGACATTGTGGAGCAGTCGCTGATCCGTTCGTCCCAAGCCCCACCACACTACTAGACTTTAAAAGCATATATCAGTCCGTGCCTATACTTCTCTCTGTTTGGCAGTACTAGGGATGAAACCCATGCCCTCACAAGTGCTAGGCAAATGCTCTGGCACCTAACTGCACCCACCTACTGGCAGCCTACATTCTTTGAGCCAGGATATCTGAGCAGGGGTTTCCTCGAGCATGGTGCCTCATGGGACCTCTAGTACCTCTTCTTTCAAAGGGGATAACGTAGCTTCTTTGCCATGTGCCAAGACTGTTTTTATTTTTATGTTTTTATTTATTTTTTTTTTTGAGACAAGATCTTCCTATGTAGCCTTGGCTGTCCTGGAGCTTACTATGTAGACCAGGCTGTCCTCAAACTCATGGAGATCTACCCATCTCTGCTTTGCAAGATGCGTTCCACTTGTTTTGATTATTTATGTATTTATTTGATACAAGGTCTTGCTTTGCATCCCTAGCTGGCCTGGAACTCACTGCAATGCTCCTGCAATGCTCCTGACTCAGCCTTCTGAGCACTGGGGTTACAGATATAAGCCACCATGCCTTGCTAGTTCTTTCCTTTTTTCAAATCGTAAGACAGGAGAGGGGAGGGGAGAAGGAGGGACTCCCCTCAATTGAGTGATACTGTATACTGATCCTGGAGAGTATTTTAGAATAAAGATGCTTTCAGTCTCTTGGCTTAAGACCTTTGCACTCACTGGCAAGTCAGGGGCCTTCCCTGAAGCCCAGGCACCAGCTGCCCTACTATCCCAAAACCTGGTGTTTCCCACATCTCCTGATCATTCCAGGTCAGGGCTTCAGCCAAAGATCAGGGTTGCGGCCCAGTAGGTTCAGAGAGCCCATTGGCACATAATGGTGTGTCTGGGGTCCTCCTGGGTCTTGTTTTTGATACCTTTCCTCAGCCTTGAGTAGGTGCCACGCATTTGTTCAGAGGAGTGTTTCTCAGTCTTCCTAATGCTGTGACCCTTTAATACAGTTCCTCATGTTGTGCTGACCCCCCAACCATAAAATTATTTTTATTACTACTTCATAACTGTAATTTTGCTACTGTTATGAATCATAACACAAACAGCTGATATTTCTGTTGGTCTTAGGTGACCCCTGGGAAAGGGTCGTTTGGCCCCCCGAAGAGGTCATGACCACAGGTTGAGAACCACTGGTTTGGTTATATCTCTGTCTTCACTACTGTCTATAATAAGCTGATGACATAGTTCTATTTTTTAAAAAATTATTTTGCGACAGGTCTCATATATTCTAGGCTGACCTTGAACTCCCTATAGCAGGGAATGACCTTGAACTTCTGACCCTCCTGCCTCCACCTCCCAAATTCTGGAATTACTGGTGCGCACCACCACACCCGTTTATGTGGTATTAGGGATGGAACCCGCGGCCTTGGGCATGCTAAGCAAGCACTCTATCAACGAAGCTACATTTCCAGGCTGACCATTCTAACTTTTGACTTTTGTGTACTCTGAGGTGTATCACAAATTTCTATGTGATAAATTCCCTGTGTCCCCCAAGGGAAAGCTTTCTATGTGAGGCCAGTAGACACAGTTCAGTGGATCTTCTTGGCATGTTCTTAAAGCAGGGCAAAGACCTAAAAGGCAGATGTGTGTGTGTCTGTGTGTGTCCGTGCTCCCTGTGTGCACACACACAGACACACAGACACACACAGACACACACATACAGCTACCACAGACCGGTAGAAGAGCTGAGTGACTGACTTTCGGGCAATGTTTATCAGGGAACAATGCAGAGAGAGGGAGCCAGGGAGATCCCCAGAAATGAGCTGGGTCTGAACTTTCTCCAGTTCATGTCCCTCCAACTGACCGCAGAACCCACACAGCCTGTGAGGGTTTTCTGCTGAGAGCAAACTGGAAGTTTCATCTCATAGTGGAGGGCACTTTGATCAACCCCCTGTTATCCAACAGGTTGGCAGAGTCTACCAGCCTTCTAATTAGAACCTGAGCAAAAGGTCCTGGACTAGCCTGGGTCTCACTCCATTCTGTCTGCCTCTTCATCTGCTGCCTCGAGTCTCTGAACTTATCCCCCTTACATAATGTTCAGCATGACAAAGGGGGACTAAGGACAGATTTGTAATTTTCTTTCTTTCTTTTATTTATTTAATATTCTCACTTCTCATTTATAGAAAATTGCCCATTCTGTCTAAACCTTACAAAAATCCATGAAATGTCAGGAGAGCTGTCTTAGGCCTGAATTTAGCTAGAGGCAGAGGGCTGTGAAATCCCGGGGGAAAAAACTGAGCAGGGCAGCATCAAGGACAGAATACATCACCAGGATTGGATCGCGTAACCTGAGGGTCCGCTTGTGTTCCAGTTCGGAGCCCCTTATCCCGGTCTTAGCGAAACTGGCCTTTGTACAGATCCAACCCTACTCTCTACTCAACTGACCACTGCCCGAAGCACAGAAATGACAGCCCCGCCCCCCCCCCCCCAAAAAACCTCAGGGATACCAGCAGTCCAAAAGGCCTGTAGGATAATGCCAAGTAGCTGCTGTGCAAGTTTCTCTCTGGGCATCTTGGCCAGGACCCTTCCTGCATCTTGCCCTGGGGGCCACGTGAGAAAGCACTAAGGGCACTTCAGTGACCTGTTGCTGCCCAGGGAAGGAGTGCGGTAACTTTCTGAAATCCCCAGGAACATCCTTTAGCTTCCTCTACCACAGAGGGGCAGGAAGATCCTTACATTCAGCCCTGAGGGTGGGCAACAGCTTGGGGGTACAGCAGGGCAGCCCTCCAAGCAGCCTCTCCCTGAACTCCCTTCCCTGGGGCTCAGAGCTCCATCTAGCCTCGTCCTCGAGCAGAGGGATAGGAGCAGCCCGGGCTAGTCCCCGGGGACGCGGCCACGTCTAGAACAAAGGCCCGCAGAGGGGTCGTGGAGCGCGAGGCTCCCGGGGGGTGGCGAGGGGGGAGGCTACTGCCCTTCCTCTCGGCTCCTCCCTCCTCCCTGCGTCCTCCACCTCCTTCATCCTCTCTTAGAGGCCGGGTGGGCGGTCACGCCAACTTCGTTGGACTTCCCCAAGTTGCCGGGTACGCGTGTGGAGTGAGGCGGAGAGCGAAGCGGAGGGGCGCAGGACTCCCGGAGCCTTGGCTGCGGATCAGGGTCCCGCCACCGACAGCTAGCGGGATCGGAGTAGTGGGCAGAGCCGATCTCTCGCCCGCTAGGACACCGCCCGCCTGGCGCCACTTCCCGCGCAGCGAGGGGACCGGCCCAGCCGCGCCTCCCTCCGCGCACTCGCCGGTCCGCAGAGTGGGCGCTGGTAGGAGCGCGGCCCCAGCATCTTCTGAGCCTAGGGCTCAGTTTGGGGCGGATGCTGCCCGCGCTGGACGCTGGCCTTCGGAGAATCTGATCCGCCCGCCGGGAGGAGGAGGCTCGGCCGGGGTAAGTGGGGCGCCCGTGTCCCGGCACCGCCTCCTGGGCCCCAGCCTGGAGCCGACCGCATCCCAGAACGCGCGCCAAACTTTAGGAGAAGGGGACCGGCGGAGGGTGGGAGGGGAGTTCCCTGAGCGGGGAAAGCCCCCTGCTTCCAGATTCCCATCTGCCTGGTACCCACACCGGGTCACAGCACAAGCCACAGGCGAGGATCTTAGCACTTTCACCCCGACCACCCTGCACTCCGAAATGCACGCTCCTGGGAGCGCAGGGTTGGGGACTTTTAAACCATGCTGGGTTCTTTGCTCCCCGAAGTTCCTTCCATCGTGAAAGGGAGCCCTCCTCCCCAAACGCTACAGTAGGCGACTACTAACTCCCCGGGCTTTGGAAAGTTGTGATTGGGACCCACTGAGGCCCCCGGAACGGGGAGGGAAGAAGCAGACACCGCTGTCTCCGGAGCTAGCAGGGCAGACTCGGAGTGGAAATTCGGTGTCTGTGTGTGCGCAGCCCTTCCGAAGCCGAGGTGGGGAGACCAGAGACAGTGATTCAGAAACTTTTAAAGAGTTTTTCTGGAATGGGGTCTTTGGGCTGTGAGGAAAAGGCTGCGTGCTGGCGCTGCGCCTGGCTGACATCTGCGTGGTGGCCCTGACAGGGCCTTGCAAGGAAGCAGAGACCCTTCCACACCTCCCACCCCCACTCCCCACCCCCTGGCGGATGTGCTTCCTCGAAGGGACTTCCAGGGGCGGAGCGGGGAGGGGGGGGTCCCAGCTATGGGCTATATATGTGGGTACATGAATTAAACGGAGACGCAAAAGTCAGGGTGAAACCTGGCCTGTTGGGAAGATTAATCGTTCCTCACACCAGGATACAGTGTCCTGTCCTGTCCCAAGGATCTTCTTGGGCCTAGTGTGGTGCAGGTCATAGTCTTAGTCAGTGCCTGCCAGACAAGTGATGGCACTGGTAATGAATGCATTGTGGATTTGTTGTGAGTGGAGCCTTAGAGGAATTGCTCTTCTAGAGAGGAAAAGGCCTGACTGGTTGTGGGTCCTACATGGGCTCCTTGGGAAAGTGACCCAAGTGTCCCAAGGTGCCTCACAGTTACCTCTCCCTGTCCAGAAGGAGAGGAAGATTCCATTTCAGGGTCTGGCTAAATGGGGTGGAATGGGATGCCTTTGGCAGGGACAGGGGACTCTCTGGGGGACAGCATGAGTGGATTCCTTTAGTCCTCCCATGCCCTCACCACAGGGGCAGGTGAGTTAGTGGAAAGGGGGCTAGTGGGCACATGCTGGGATGGAGTCCCTGGGACATGTGGAATTTGGGTCATCAACCCCTGCTAGCTCCTGCTGGCCTGGCTGGAGAAAGGTCTGGTAGAAGCTGTGTCTTCCAGCAGGGCCTTGACTTGGTGGCGATGAGGGGGTGATCACGGTCTGTCCCTGTACTAGGTATCCAAGTTGGATCTTCTGTGACAGCTGGTGTGAGTTCCCCAGAGAGCCAGAAACATTCTTTTTTTTTTTTTTTCCTGGAACTGGGACCGCCAGCAGTTGGAACTGACGGTCCACAAAGATGTGGGGATGGGTGGTCTTGGCCTGTCACCGGGAAGAAATGCGTCAGTTCCCACTCCTGTTCCTGAACAATATTGACTGGCAGCAATGTATGCTCCAGGGCTCTAAATGCCAGAATTAGCAAGGTGCGTGGGTCGTGCCAGGCCTGTGGTCCCAGAGGAAAAAGGAGGGAGGTTGTGCTTGGCTACCCCAATTCCGGGTAGAATACAGTAGCTGGTCCCCTCTCCTACCCCCTGCCCCCTTTGTCATGCCATCTGGGGCCCCACAGACACTGTCCCCTTAAGTCATTACTCTCCTCTAGAATTTCCATTTCATCTCCTTTTTTACAGATGGAAACTAAGCCTCAGAAAAATTAGATAGCTTTCAAAGTCACACAGCTAGTAAGAGACCAAGCTAGGATTTGAACCTGGAGAGTCTGTTTTCAGAATTGTGCTGGCTTTGCCATGCCAGCCTGTCTGTATAGGTCTCCATAGCAACAAGGAAGAAACACCGGTGACATTTCCTAACCTGTGGGCTCTGACTATCTATCTTTTTCCAGTCTTTGTGGAGCCATGGAAACCAAAGGCTGGGTGGTACCCAGTTTCTGGATCCTTCAATGTGGCTCAGGAGTCAGGAAGCTGGAGGTTTGGGTGTGAGTGCAGGGGCATGGTACAGTAACCCCATGAAAGACAATTTGCTACTCAACTGAGTAGCTACCAATCAATGGAGACAAAAACTGTCCCTTACAATTGTCCTCTGGCTGAGCTATCAGTCATCTGCCTTCTTAAGCCGGTCACTATACTCCTTCCCTTTTGCCCCTTGACAGTATAAACTATTATCCTCACCCCACCATTTCCCTGGTGAACGTAAGGGGTCACGGTCCCAGCTATCGTTCCCACCGTACCCCATGTCCTGCAGTCTGGAGTCTTCAGACTGTCCGAAGGGAAGGTGGGGCAGAGCCAGGCAGCTAGGGAAGGTGATAGCAATGTCTCACCCTGTCCCCAGCTATGCTTGTGTGCACAGGGCCCACAGAGTATCCGCTGTCTGATCTCATTGGACACAGGGGACAAGAGGACCAAGAGTGGATGCCTAAACTCAGGAACTGAGGACTTGTTGCCACACTGCCTCAGGCCCTCCCTGCGGATGCCTAGGCTGGGCATCTGGGGTTTGGGAATATCTAATGTCCTGTTCCTCCCGTTTCTGAGGGTTAGAATCACTCCTTCAGGGGCAGGATTTTTGTCTACTCAGAACCTCTGATATGATATGAGAAAAGTAAAGTAGGTACCCTTAAAAGGATGTAAGAGGCTTTGGATGAACACAGTTCAGCTGACACCCCCCCCCCATCTAACCTGGGTGAGGTCCAAGAGCTGTTTGCAGGGTACCAGGAGCCTTCTGCCCCACCTTGGCAGAATGGACATGCTGGATGGAAGGAGGACGACTGGGAATGGAGACAATCCCACAGAGGGCAGGGGCTGCTCTTTGTACCTTCATCCCCATGTTGGTGCCTGACACGTGAGGGAGCTGGGACCTGGGAATGTTTTCAAGTGATGGGTGAAGCTGGGAAGGACCGTGGGCATCTCACCTGCGAGAGGTGGCTCAGAGAGGTAGAGCAGCCTCCGGCCTCAGGAAGTCACGCGGCAACAGCACTTAAACAGATTTTAATCACCGATTTTATCGCCCTTTCTTCTCGGAGACTTGAGGAGGGGATAAGAAGCCGCCTGTCCTGCTCCAAATCTGTAGATTCCACAGCTGGGTGTGTGTGGTGGGGAACAGGGTGTGGGTCTCTGCAGGCTCAGGCACCTTCTGTCTCCATTGTCCCAACTCTAGCTGCTTGTTCTTGGTCCCCAGCCAGTGCGGAGGGAGGAGCTGGCCAGGGGATCTCCTCAATCAGTTTCTAGCATCGGCCTGGCTCCTCCTGAGTGCTGTTAGCTTCTCACAAAGATGGACTGTGCGCTGGAACACTGAGAATTTCTCTAAACTCTGGGCCATTCATCACCGGGGTCCAAGAGGGCTCTGTGGGAAGTCTGGAGGAAGTGTGGAAAACCAACAAACCAATTTCCCCACTCAGCCGCCGCTGGTGGCCACAAGTAAACAGCCACTTCTGGGGCCAGCCTGGACTTTTGGAAGGTTACTACTGCCCCTCCCTGCCCTGCCATACCTACCCCCTTGCCTTCTGGGAGCTTTAAAAGCCAGGGATCACATCTTGGCCAGGCCTGTCCTGTGCTGCTAGACTAGAAGCTGGTGGCTGGGATCAGGCAGAACTTGGGCGAGAAAGGATAGCCTGGGGCTGCAGCTCAATTCTATATGGGTGAGTACACTGTCTGGAGGAAGACTGGTACCTCCTTGGTGGGTGGAGAACGCTGGCGGTTTTAGGGCATCTTATGCATTGCTCCAGGGTGGGTGGACCAAAGTTATTTTCGGGTCACATCTCTCCAAGGTGGGGCCCGCTTGTGAAAAGACTGTGAGAGACCGTGTACTCACTTCCTTTGTATATGGCCTGGATTGGCCAGATTGTCCCAGAATTGGGTCTGCTGGGGTTGGGCGGGTGGTGAGGGGTCACCCATGTCCTCACAGAGTGCAAGCCCTAAGTGGACCTTCTATGTCTTTGGGATGGGTCACTAACCCTCTGAGGGAAGCTGCAACTTATTAATGAACTGAAAGTTCATACACCCGCAGAAATGGAGGTGGGCTCTAGGTGAGGGCAGCTTCCTACTGCTCAGGATCTTCAACTCAGGACCAAAAAGGGTCCCAGAGCCTCCTCATGTGTGGCAGTGTGAGCTTAGTCTATAAGCCCAACACTTCTGGAGTCTGGGAGAGGGGCATTGCCTGAGGTGCTCAGTACAGCCGCCACCAGACTGCTGGAGAAGGGAGTTAGGGGTGGGTTCCATATTCTGTAGACTTTTCCTGCTTTGCTGTTGGGAGTGGATCCCATGGCCTTACACGCCCACTGGGCAAACTCTACCCAGTGATCTCCTTCTCCAGACCCATCCTGCAGAGCTGGTGGGGAGAAAGGGCTGATAGTCCCCCAAGCCACGTGTAGGCCAATATTCTACACTGGGCAGAAATGCATACACACTCAGGTTTGCCTCCACATACAAAATATTAGGTAAATACAAAACGTGTAGATATTCTCCAAAAACATTTGTAGGTACAAATGTCTACAAACCCAGACCCACACACTCAATGCCATGTTCATTGAAAAGGCAAACTATGTGATGTTTAAGAACACTTTGGGCTAGCTATTAAACCCTTTCAGGGCCTTCCTTTCTTGGTCTATAAGAAGGAACTAGGGGGGCTGGAGAGATGACTCAGAGGTTAAGAGCACTGACTGCTCTCCCAAAGATCCTGAGTTCAGTTCCCAGCAACCATATGGTGGCTCACAACTGTTTGTAATGAGATGTGGTGCCCTCTTCTGGTCTGCAGGCATACATAAAGGCAGAACACTGTATATATAATAAATAAATAAAT